CAATGTGATAACCTCTGATTGATTGAGCTTGAAGAGATTTATCGACGTGATAGCCTCTGATTGATTGATCTTGAAGAGATTTATCGACGTGATAGCCTCTGATTGATTGATCTTGAAGAGATTTATGGACGTGATAGCCTCTGATTGACAGCTTTGAGGTAATTCCCCAGATTTGGATGAACTCGGAGAGATCGATTCTTGACTTGATTGCCCCAGATTGGCAGTTTCAAGGGAATGCCCCAGATTGATGGAATCTGCTAACTTTATCCCTGAAGGGTACTTAAGTTGTGAAGCACCAAGATGTTTTCTCTGGTCAAAATCACTGGTTAACATGCTGCTGGATAAGTCATTTCTCTTGTGGCAGCTGACTCTTGCTTCAACAGGGTATTCAAGCCTCTCTTTTCTGACAAGATTGAGCTCTTCACCGATTGTTCATTGTGCAAATTTACTTGATGTCGATCAGTTGTTTTGTATGCAGAAGAATGTTTATTATGAGAATGATAATTCTAAAGCAACACATATGTAAGTCTTGAAGTTTGAAATGACGTCACAACTCTGTTGTGAACGAGTCACTAGCCAGAGAGGAACATTTGCAAATTCCCTTTTTTATGAAAGATAATGCAAGCATATGATGCCAACAAAGATATTGGAACGTACCTCTAAGGAGTCAGTTAAATGCTATCTTGTTGTAGCACGCTTTCGAATTGACCCATGCTTCAGTTAGGACTTTTATGGGTTGTAACGTGGCCTGGTTCACGGTTTTAGAAAAAGGATTTAAGGCTCAAAATTATTTGGTGCCCACCCATTCTCCATGATGTTCTCCATTCCTACGTTCAGTTGACCTGATATAAGCGTTCATCTCTCGAGAAGAGTTTGCAATAATTGAGGAACCACAGTGGTTTCTTGGACACGACAGTCACTAACTTCTTTGCCTTTGGTGTTTGATCAGACGACTTTGTTCTTTGATGAGGATTTTTGTTGGTAATCCTTTTCTCGCCTTTTAGGCCTTTCAATTTCTTTCTTGCTTTCCCTAATTTTTGCCTGGACAAATTCTTTTGAATTTTGATTTGGAAGTCCAGCGGGATGCCCCAATTTTTGCCTAAGTGACTTGTTTTCAAGTTTCGACTTAGCGGGGATTTTTGTTTCTTTCTTGTCAGCATTTTTTCATTTTGAACAAGTCGTTGATCTTTGCGTTGTTTTGATTTGTTGGAAGTGATCATGACTGCCTGAGTCTTTAGTAGATGCGAGATAGCCATTATAGTATCGTCATTTGTTGACCTCCTGATGTGCGAGAGATACCCATTGGGGTATAGTCAATAGACACACGTTGTTGTTAGATGAGGGTGAACCATTGTGGTTTTGACTTTTCTCAACCTTTTGATGGATAACCATTGTCGTATCCTTGGATGCACACTCTTGATGAGTTCTGAATGCTTGAACATATTAGCTGAACACTACCCGCCCCAAGGTTAGAATGAGGGTTTTTTCTGAATAGAAAGAAAACTCCTACTTCGAAGGCTCAGAGGGGTTGACGAGGGTCTATCTCCCTTATATCTCCGGTGTTTGGGGATTGAAACAAGGCCTGTACATCGTCAGCAGGGCCCTACTCAAAAGCGTACCAACCAGAGATTTTTGCGTTTTTAGATTGTCGTCATCCTCCTTTGAATCTTTACCTAAGCATAAAACTAGGAAATATGGCATCAATATGCAAGCAAAACATTTAAAGAGTGATAACAAATGGATGAGTAAAAATGAAATGATCACTTCAAGACAAGCATATTTATTGCATTAAGATTTTCGTTCAAAAATAGACAAGTTTCTATGTACAAGCGATGTTTAAACAAACAAGCAAGAATGCAAATGAAAATGCAGTCAAAGAAACCAATGATTGCCATTGTTGAGGAGACTTGACTCCGTATGGACTTGCTGATTCTGACGACTTTCTGTAGTCTTGAAGCTCGAGTGTGCGAGAGAATCCCCTTTCAGATATGATGTGAGCATGACAGTCTCTGAATTGATCCAGCCTTGGACTTGGTCTCTAGATGACATACCATCTTCAATCGATTGGCCAGGTGCCCCAGTATAACATGCATCACCAAGCACATCATGTTTTTAAAGAAATAATAGACATCATCATCAGAGTTTCCATGACCTGGCTTATCTGACTCTTTAATCCATTATCTTCCTTCCTGAAGAAGTTTCTGACTATGAGCCAAAGCTTGCATGTACCACTCAGAGTTATTCCATAGCTGGTCCCTGAACACGTGCGGTGAGAAATCAGGTTGAACCTTTGAAGAGAACCCCAGGTCCGAATAATAATCCCCAATCTTCGGATACCTGTAATGAATGCATGAATATACATGGAGTGTATGAATGAATGCTATGTCATGTTTTGTCATTTCCAAGGAATTTGCGTGCTTTGACTTAGTTTTTGCGCAAGTAAGGGATGGAAGAATTTCGGCACAAGACTTGCAAATATGATTCCTTGAAAATAACAGAACATGTATGTTAAGCATGTGGTTAGCCATGTCATGTATGCAAAGGCATGAGATCAAAGAGGATCATGGTTCCATCTTTCCTGAATAAGGTTGCTGCACTGCTCTGGATCATGTGAGTATCATCAGATCAAAGGTCCAACATAACTTCTGCATATATAAGCACCAAGTACCCTGTGGATCTCCCATTGTCCGGGATCAAGGCTTATGGAACATCGGATACTGTTGAGAATTTCTGAACATGCTGGGAATACCAAGATTGAAGGCTTGAATGAACCTCCAGGTAAACAAGTCAGGATCTCAGAAAATAAATCTGAGAACCACACGGTCACCAACGGGATACAACATCTGCATAAAGTCTTAACAGAAATCCAGAATATAGCCATTAGAATCAGTAGTCACTGTCTGAGCAAAGTCACCATTTGTACCTGTATAACCATCTGAACATAGTCACCATCTGTACCTGTAATAGAAATTCCCTCCCCATTCACGGGTGAAAACTAGGTCAGGGTAAGGCAATGGTAACTCGAAAATCACAGGTTCGCCTGAAAGTGCTATGGGCTTACCCACAGACGTGGGTGCCGATAGTAATTCATTTGAACCTCATCCGAGCATGGTATATGACATGACTGCACTAATCGGACCACGTCCTATAACCGTCATGCCCCCACTCTATTCCTAGGTGTCCTAGTGCACTCTGGCCTGGGTACTGGGCCTTTTACCTCAGAAGTGACATCCCCACCCAACATAGAGAACAGAGTCCAGCATAATAGATAACAAATATGGAAAGCCATAAAATGCAATTCAAACATGTACAAATGAGTAAACTGAAAGCATAAAAATAAACACCCTAAGGAAAGAAAACAAGAGCTAGGAGCGACTCCGGGATGGACCAGCATTTGGTCGACCTATTCGCCAATGAAGTCGCCAGCTGAAACAACCGGCTGAAAATCATCAAAACAATGAAGTCGCCATCGAACGTCTTTTATCCCACATGAAGGGAAAGGTAAACATCGAGAAAACCTGAGAAGGGAGAAGTCACGGTCTTGCGACCGAGAGATCGGGTAAGGGAGTCTATTACGCGAGGGGAAGGTATTAGCACCCCACACGCCCGTAGTACTCTACAGTATCCACTCTTGTTGTCTATCTTATGGGTGTGTTTAATTTATGCTTACTGTTTACTATACTACTGGAGGAATGCATGCAAAATAAAGGAGAAAAGAATGTAGGGAAAATAAAATTGTGCTCGCTTGGGCCCTACCCCAATGCCTACGTATCCTTTTTGAGGAATCAGAGCTACCGTAGTTCGGCTCACATGTTTTGTTTGTTTTGTGTTTTTTATGGACGAAGTTAATTCCGCCTTCTGCCGCAGCTCGACCTTTGGAGACTTATGCGTTGGCACAGAAGTAAATTAATCATGTCCTTACCTGAAAAGGGTTTTTTACGAAAAGTGCTCGAGCGCACAAAAGATTTGAATTTGTTTTGTATTTTTTGTTGTAGATGATGACTGATTGACCTCAAGAGAGAGATATTACCCATTTTTCTACTTAGTTATGAAAAGAGTCTTTGAGAATTGAACCACACCTATGCTTGAGATGAAGAACAATAAGATCGAGAAGAGACTCGCTTATCATTTACCGTACTAAGCAAAAGCATTATTCGAATCAATATTTTTAAAGTATTTTGAATTTTGAAAGAAAAAGAAGTTTTTGTTTTAGATGCAAAAGGAGAAAGAAAAGTCAGAAGGAGACTAGCTTACTTCTAAACCTAATGTTATTATGCGTTAGTAGCCATAAGATCTAGGTTAAAGGGGAAATTTCTACTTGATGTTAGTATGCATATGGATTCGCGATAAAGTGCGAAAATGAAGAATAAAATAGATTTGCGACGATACCGAACGGAGAAGGTCCGTTGCCTCTTCAAAATTGTGCAAGCGGTAAGAAAATTCTATCAAAGTTTCCTCGAACGAGTGATTGAAGAGTTCACCCCGAGCATTCCACATTGCAAGAGTTATGTCGATGCTATCACAAAAATCTTGACTAGAAAATGGCAATAAAAATGATTATCGAATATGAAAAAATAAAATAGAAAAAATTCTGATCGAAATTCTAAAAAGAAATTCTATTCTAAAAATATTCTATTATTTTTGTTGTCAATTGAGAGGAAAAAAATTAAACTAAAAGAGAAAAATTAAAATAATAAAAGAAAAGAAAAAAATTGGAAGAGTTAGGGGGTATGAAGTCTAAAAATATGGGTGCTGAAGTAATTAGCCCAAAAAGATTTTCAACATTTTCTTTATTATTTACTTAATTATTATTATTATTTGTTTGAAATAAAAGAATAAAATAATAAAACAGTTAAAATTAAAAAGAAAAAGAAAAGCATGAAAATTGGAAAGGGAATAGGGTTTTTAGGAAGAAAGTCTCTTCTTCTCCGTGTGCAAAACGGTAGCGGCGCCTCCGGCCTTCCTTGCATTTTCATCTTCATCCGTCAACGGTGCCCCGATCAGTTTCCGCCCCCCTGTTCATCATCTCTACCTCGCTTCCGTTTCTTCCTCCGAAGCCGCTCACCATCGTCACTTCCTCGCCTGTGTTGCTTCGTCTCTTCTTCGCCTTCATCAACAGTGCCCGATCCTTGCGTTGCTCTGATTCCATCCGCCGCGGCTGTCATCATTTCTTCATCTTCCTTCATATTCGTCTGATACCCTTTGAAAGGTAAACCCCTTTTGATTCTTCCTAGAATAACTCGCAGCACCAAGCTTTTCATCCGAATGTGCAAGTCCATCAGCATTTGTAGAATTTGATCTTGTGTGACTTAACTTCTTGGTCTCCAAAGTGTCATCGCACAGATTAGGTTGCTGAGCAGATGAACTTGTATTTCCAGTAATTCCTACATCCTGGAGGCCATGTGCCTTCAGGTCACCAATATTATTCAAGTCTGCATCTTGATCAGAATTCTTCTTATTTCTTGTAGTTGAAGGATCTTGGACTGATAATTGTGGCTGTGGTGGTAAGTTTAGCGGCTGCTGTGGCGAAGAATGTGACGATGGAGGTATGTTGGTCGGTGGTTGCCAAGGAGAGTTAGACTGTGGAGGCTAGTTGGGTGGAGGTTTGCAAAAGTAGGAGAAGGTTGCAATGAATGGTTGAAGATGAGAGAGTATCGATGATACGTGTTGAAGAACAAGAAAATGAGTGAAGCTATAAGAAGAAGATGCGATTGTTGCAGGTTGATGAAACTGTTAAGAGTAGAAGATGATTGAAGGTGTGGATTGTTGAAGATGATTGCAAAATATGCAGAGGAGTTCGGAGAGAGTTATGATATTTTTTGGTGAGTTTGTGAATTCTGAATCACGGATCTGCAGAGAGAAGATTGAGAAGTTTCTTTTTTGATATTTTTTGTGGTGATTCTTCTAACCGATGAAGAATGATTGTAAAGGTGAGTTTTTTGCAGTTCTTCTCTAACTTTCTATGAATAATGGTATCCCTGTGAATAATCTTTCCCTATTCTGTTTGTGATCTCTCCGTTTTCATATGCTGTGAACTCTATTTATATATGCTGGAAGTTTGTTATGGTTGGTTAAGAGGTTAGAAATTCTGTTAGGTGGTTAGGAGGTGGGAAAAAGTTGGTTATTCTGTTAATTGGTTAGGACTTAGAGAGGTTGTTATAAAATGGTTAAGAGGTGCGAAAAAGGAAAGTTGATTACAGTTTGGGAAATAGAAAGTTAGTTATAGTTAGAAATTAGGAAAAAGTTAGTTTTAAGCACATAATACTTGGTGTAAATGTTGATTTTTGTATTTCAAATTAAATTAATTTGATTACGTATTGGTACTGAACCGGCTTGAAAAATGGTTTTTTATGCAGGTTTTCTTTTGGTATGAAACATGGACCGAGGCTTGGACATAACCAGGTTGGAATGGGGCAATCTTGGAAGATAGTGGCTTGAAGATAAATAACTTTAGAAATGAGGGAAACCTTGATTTAGAATTCTTTAGCTTTAGGCTACTTGAATATTTAATGTAAATTCTTGTTTTTTTGATTTAGTAATTTTGGATGTAAACGTCCTTTTGAAATCTTCTCTTGTAATGTTCTAATGATACCGCTTGTAAATTGCATGGTTATGACCTCGAATGAACGAGAATGATTTTGGATAACCTTTTGACAAATCACGAGTAATGCTTTAGAACTTGTAAAGATTATATCATTCGAATGAATGTGAACCCTTGAATTTTAACGATGGAGCCCAAATATTCCAAGTAGTCTTCTCTTCCGAATTGCCTTTTGTATCTCCAAGATTTTTTTTTAATTTTATGTTGCATATAACTCCATGGTTGTGATATGAATTTAATAAGAGTCTTTTCCAAGGACGAACTTGTAACGTCGAGTTTCTTTGCTTTTGAATGAAGACATGCCTGAACACCCTCAAATGAACGAGCCTTGCATCTTTCTTACTCCTCACCGTAAAAGATACGATTTTCTCATATGATAACCTTTTTGTATGATATATTGAAGCATCCTTGAATAAGATCTTAATGGCCATGGATATATCAAAATCTTCAACCATGATCATGGAAATAAATCATCATTCATGTGGAGGTGATAAGTATAAGACGATGTTCCTCACTGCTTAAGCTTGCAGCCTTTCGAGACAGCCTTGGGATGACTCACAATTGAAGCGGCAAGTATTTGATGAGACCCAAAAATTGTATCACTAAAAGAAGTCCACAGTGTTAGAGAAAAAGCCATACACCAACCCTTATTCCTCGAAATCCATGATCTTATGCCAATTTATCAATTAATGATGCATGATGTGTTAGATGACCTAATGAGAGAAAAATGCAAAAATGCGTAAGCCAGATAGGAAGTAGAAGGGTAGGACAAATTTGGGGTATTACAGGTTCATCTTCTGCATTTTGGCCTCCAAGTCCTCTGTCGAACCCTTTGCAGCAGCCAAATAAGAACCTGTGGTGGTTCTTTTGCTGGAGCTTTCAGCAACTCCTTTGATCAGTTTAAGGCCACCAACAGCCTTCTTGTTTGACGCTTGGTCAACTTCATTTTTCGAATCCAGGCCCTCAGTGGCCTTTCTCACCCTTTCGATTATTTTCCTTGAGATGTTCCCAGTGAAACTTCCGAAGATAGGTTTTGTGACGAAATCTTCAGACACTTCCACCATATGAATGCCAACTGGTTCGTCATAATGAGCCTCTTCCTGCAGTGGGTTTGTGTCGATTTTCATTGCTGGTTTATCAGCAAGTTTCAACCTTCCTTCCTTCAGTGCATGTTGAACGAGATCCCTGAATAGAAAACATTGTGAGGTTTTATGTCCCAAAAAATTATGATATTTACAAAAACCTCTTTTCTTTCTCTGTTCTAAAGGAGGAAATTTAGCCCCTGGGGGCACTATCATTTGTCCATCTTTAACTAATAGATCGAATATTTCATCACACTTGGATATGTCGAAGATATAAGTTTTCTTAGGAAATTTATCACTTCTTTTCTCAGGTTCTACAAGATTTTTCCCATTCGATGGCCCCAATAATTTACAAGAATATGGTGGTCCTTGTTTTAATTCAGCTAAATCAATTTCGCCTTCTTCGACATCTATAGGGTCGTTGTATGCCTCTGGATCTTTATCATCCACTTTGACATAAGCTACCCTGTCCCGTCGATGAGTTTTGGCAGTTTTAGCCTTTTCAGCTTTAAGGCGTTCTACTTGTCGAACTCTATCGGCAAGTTGGGCCATATCTCTTAGGTATTGTGTATCTAATTTTCTCCTAATCGAATAATCCAGGCCCCCTGCTGCTATTTCAACTAGTTCATGTTCAGGCACTTGGGTAAAGCATCTAGCTTTGAGTAGTCGAAACCTATTTAAATATTCATCAATTGGCTCTGTGAACCTTCTCTTCACACTAGCCAATTCGTTTAGACTTATCTTGGTTTGACCCATGTAAAATTGTTCATGGAACAATCTTTCTAATTGGTTCCAGTGGTGGATCGAATTGGCTGGGAGGGTAGTGAACCAAGTGAAAGCATTTTTAGTTAAGGAACTTGGGAAATATTTGATTCTAAGGTTCTCATTGTTTTCTATCTCTCCAGGCTCTATCAAATATCTAGTCACATGTTCGATAGTCGACTCTGTCGTATCCCCTGAAAATTTAGTGAATTTTGGGACTTCTCCCCTAGGTGGTAAGTTCGTTTGCAGAATATACTCTGACAATGGGGATGTAAAGTTTGGTCTATGAAAACCAACATTCATCCCGTTTTGAAGCATGATTCTCTCGATCATAGCGGTTAAATTATTATCTGCCCCATTGTTTTGGTGTCGAACTTGTTGTATTAATTCGTCAGTGTTTTGGTTTCTATTAGCCAGAATAATGCCTTGATCGATTTCTCGATGGTTTCGAGGTATCTCTATTCTTGGTTGTTCTACTCCTACCCTTGGAATTTGGGGGTTTGGATTAACGGTCACATCTTCTTCCATGATTTCCCCTTGATTTAATCTTATTGGTACTCTCTGGGGTTGTCGAACAACTTAGGGTAGTTGAGCAACTTGGGGTACCCCAAAGAATTCATCCATGCGTGTCATTTGCGCTGTCATCTGTTGATTCGACTGTGTAGCAGTCTGAATGAGGGGATTTAGCATTGTACTTAGAGTTTGTGCTAACATTTGTACCATTTCATGATTACTTTCGTCCATTTGTTGCCTCAAAATTGTTGTCGAAGCATTTGTGAGGCTTGGTATCATATGAGATGGCCCTCCCAAAAATTGGTTTCTACTGGCTCCAGACCCTTGTAATGGCGAAGTTGCATTCACAAAAGGTTCTGAAAAAGTGGACGCAACATTCATAAGGCTAGCCATTTCAGTAGTTGGCATGCCATATGGCTGTTCTCGACCCATCCAAGTTGTCGAAAAGACTGGGGGTACAGTTGATCGAGACCCTAGGTTTATCCTTGGTGGGGGTGTTCCCAAAGGACCTCTTGGACCCACATACGTAAGTAAGGGTCCAGTTTGATTCATGGTTAACGATGGTATTGATTCAACAGAAGTTGGGATATTCCCTTCGACAGCAGTAGTAACTGCTATTCCTGTGATCGGTGGAGGTATTTCTCCATGGTTTGGCTCGTTAGCCATACTACTCTCTCTATTTTCCTTTCTAACAGTAGATTTATTGGTTACTCTACCACTTCTTAATAACTTGCAATGTTATAACTGTACAGGAAAACACAACAACATAGAAAATTAGCAACGTCCCACCAGGTGTGCCAATTTGTTTACCGTTGTTTTTGGTAAACAACCGCTGATCTCCAAAAAGGTAAGGTTTTTGGTTTACTTACGGGATCGATCAAACTAATCCCAGGACATATGCTAATTTCTGTGTAAAATGAGTAAGAAGGAAGAACGCACGTTCGACCCAGAGAAAGGATGTTTGAGATTGTTGGAAAGTAGGAAAAAGCATAAAAATGCAAGTAAAAGCAGTAAAAAGATAACTTTGCAGGATAATGGTAAAGAAATGTAACAAGACTTTCATTAAGTAAAAAAGGTGTTTGTAACGTACATTGCTCAGCTTTTATCCTTTCTCACGCAGTAGTTACTTGGATAATATTTGAGAGATTTAGTACAATAGATTGAACACCCTTAAAAATCACACAAGCTTCTTAATTTATACTAAAAGTAGGTAACCGTCGAGGGGACATTCTGCGCAAGGATGAAGACAAGTGTCTTCTGCATGCCTCTCGACCCATAGAATTTTTCCATGTTGCTTCTTCTTAGACGCTGATGAAAACTACCTTTC